ATAGTCATCCATCATTATGTTGACAGCTGATAATGATGAGAATACTTTCATTCGTTGTATTGTCTTTGGTTCAGATTTGGGCTCATGCTTATTCATCCGAAAGAAATGCTGAGGCCTATCTTATTGACATAGTCGAATGGGTGTCCAGTCATAAGGATGGCTTTGTCAATCAAAAGGCGGAGCTTCGTCTCCTAAACTTGGACGATGATGACGATGACAATGAACCTTTGCTAGGAATCTTTGCAAAGGCCGAAATTGCAAAGGATGAGGTCATTACGCAAATTCCTTGGGAGATGATTGTAAAGGGTGGTGCTCGGTCCCTGCTACTAGGAGACAGCAGTAGTAGTAGTAGTAGTAGTAGTAGTAGTTTTTGCAATTTGGTGCAAACACTGGCCAACGAATTGAAACTCGGGAAGCGATCCAAATACGCACCCTACGTGCTGCATCTGCGTTCGTTACGAAACGGCCAGATTCCAAGTGCGTGGTCTGTCGAAGGAAAGTATCTCTTGACGCAAATTCTTGGTGGCGATGACCAACAGCTCCCACCCGGATCGATCACGCAAATTCTAGAGGAGGAATGGTACGCTGCCTGTGGGGGAGACAGAACGGATGCAGTGATGACCAAGGCAGCCGAACTTGTGATACAGCGAGAAGATCAAGGTTTCATGGTGCCTCTCTATGATTTGGTGGAACATAGAAATGGTCACCACACAAATACAAAAACAAGAGTGAAGGAGGGCATCTACCACCAGACTGTTGCCAGTCGAACCATAAAGGCAGGAGAACAACTCTACAAAAGCCACGACTTGTGCGAAGGCTGCAACGAGGAGGCAATTGAACAAGGCTATGGGACCGCAGGTAAATTGAAGGCATCGTTCGCGTCATGTACTTGCGAAAATGATGGTCGACTCATTTATTCGTATCTTCTGAATGAATCAATCAATCGTCAAACAAGAATTATTTCGCGATTATGGAATCATTGAACGGTTGCCACAACGGTGGTCGTTGCAGCCAAATTCATTCCAGCTGCAGAATGAAGCAGGGGACATCTTCATTTATACGACGGAAAATCTTCGCTTTACCCTACACGAAGGCGAACCATCACAAGGGCAAGAAGAAGGAGTAATACAGGTCACATGGCATCCAAGCATCAAATTCGATCCAATTGGAAAGAGCTATGTCCAGAGGAGATTCCGAAAAGAACTTCGACGAATGTTTCGTGTCAAAAATACCCTGCTCAAATCGAAGCGAGAACTGATTCCAAAGCATGAATGGGACGCCATTTGGCAGTACTACGACACGATAAAGACAGCGTTGCTTTTGGCCATGCATTCATTGATTGACCCGAAAAGTGATATCATGAATACTTGTTCCCGTACAGACCAATCGATGAATCAAGGCGATGTTTGTAATTCTGATCTTCTAGAGCTCTATGAAGTGCACTACCATGATTTAGAATGGGAGGTGGATGACACCGATTACATTGAACCCCGTTGCACGAAATCGCAAATAATCGAGCTAGAAGACTATGCTTTGATCGACGAAAGCAAGACTAACTACCAGCCTATTTCGTTCTGGGAACGGAAAAGCGACGGCGATATCTGCATGAACCTGGAAACTACTCTTCAGATTTGCTCGACCTACCGACCACACTACCACGAATTCTTTGTCCACTTTCCAGCTCGATACATTGATAAAATCAAACGGGTCATCTTTATCGGTGGCGGCGATGCAATGCTCCTGCATGAGGTGCTCAAATTTCCGGAGCTAGAGAAGGTCGTCGGCCTCGAACTCGACCAGCAAGTCACAAGAAAGAGTTTCAATTACTTCAAATCACAACCACATTGGGACGAACAGAGAGTAGAGTGGTGGTATGGAGATGCGACCAAGAGCCTACCATTGCTGCCGCAAGGCTATTGGGGATCATTTGACCTAGTGCTTGTGGATCTCTCTGAAACTGTAATGTCCATGTCGGTCACTGGCGAACTTGATATCTTCTCTGCTCTCGCGTTGTTACTGAAGCCCGAGGGTATTATGGTGAAGAACGAACCATATATTGACCAATTCAGCAACTTTTTCGATCACACGATTCACATATTCTACGGTACGCCCAAGATCTGCACTCAGGTGCTTGTGATGGGAAGCAACAAGGTTGACTTTTTGGACCATCCAATCAAGGAACATCCAGAGATCGAACGTCTTCTCTTGGAACAACTCGACGATCCAGCCGATCGGTTCAAGTACTTTCACGACTATCGCAAAAACAATGCTACTGAACAAGGCAAATGTACCCTTAGAGAGGGAAGCGTGACAACGCAGCAAGGGAAAAAGGCTGGAATCTTGGAAATTTTGGAGGTAGAGAACGCCTCCATTTCATCCAAGCAAGACTTGGAATCAGCAATCTACATTGTTGCTAGTGATGTTGGATTGGTGCCAGTGTCGTCACCTTCAGATACGGATGGCGCAATAGTGGCTGTGATGAAGGAAGGCTACATTATTGCTCGAATATGGGCCGAGCAAAAGTATTGTGCGCTCGACATTCACCTTTGGGGCGCATTTGAAAAGTCGTCTGCGCTTCGTTCCGCCTTGATGGAGGCAGTGGGCAGTGATACTGTCTCGTCCTATCGGATTGTGGTAGGAGGTATGTTTGGTTCCAACACTTCGGAGTCGGACAACAACGCGATTGGCATCCAGGTGTCCCAACAGCGAAACTGTGAAGCAGAAGTTCTGAATGATGACGAAAATACAGGTGAGGACGAGACCATGGTTATTGCACTGCTACAAACCGTTGACCTACTGGTAGCAGAGAAGTCAAATCTAAAGGCTGTAGTCCTTTGTGGGTTCAAGGATGAGGGAAAATGTTGGAGTGTTGATGTTTTGGCTGCTAACGACCGTGCGAAGACAGTATTGCCAATTTGGGCTTGCGATACTCTAAAGAACTCGACTGAGGATCCATCGGTGTACCCCATGATGTACGAATGCGAGAAGGAAGTCGAAGATTATCTAATGAGACTTACACAAGGCAACAACAAAATAGACATGGTAATCCTGGACCAATCGGCGCCACGGCAGATGGCCCAGATCTTTGCAAGCATCATGAGCTATACAGAGAACCCAAATAATTTTACTTCCGAGGAGCACGTGTTTGTGTCTCTGATTAGAGACTTGGACTCGGAGTTGTGGCGCCGGGAGTTTTTGGAACAGTATCGAAGGGGAAAACATGATTTACCATTGTTCCGAACGGAGATCTCAATGAAGGCGGCTGATCGTAATCTGGGACTGCATTTTGTGCTTTGTTCCAAAAATGGATTTGGAAAGATTCACGAGCTCAAGGCAATGCTTTCCAAACACGCTTCTGGATACTTGGTTGGAATTGAGCGAGTGACTGGTGGTTCCAACTACTATGATGAAGCTTACAATATGGTCGAGTTTCCCGACTCTGCATACGATAGAGAGGCTGTGAGAGAAAAAGGAAGGAACTCTGTAGCATATGGTCGACAAAGCATCTTCCAATTTGAGAAATTCAGTTCCAATGAAGGTGGTATGCCACCATTTGACGACCTCAAAAGTATGTTCTTGGCCTCCTTGACAGAAATGGATTACAATACAAATTGGGAACAGGGATACTCAGACGTTGGTGACGGTGCGGTTTTCGTGTCCAAGTTTGAGGAGGGATTGGCTGTTTTGGTTTGGGATGGGCAAAAACATGTTGATGTGAATCTGTTTTCCACAGACCAGAGTGAAGAACGAGCGAATGGATTTCGTCAGAGTTTCATCACGCTGTCAGGTTTATCTCAGTACCTCCGAGACGATCAACCACGTGGTACTGGCGGATTGATGCTATTCGACTTTGAAATACCTCACCATCACTGAACACTTTGATAACAGTCTAAAGTCTATTTCTATTTCTTATTTGATTTTTCGTCTATGGTTTGGTTTCCGGCTTGGATCGCTCCATTCCTTTATGATGATACTCCCATTGGCTGTTGTTGTTTCGTTGCAATCGCGGTTTGGGCAGTCACTAGATTGCTTACAGTTGCCGAGTATAACGCTGTTTGCGACAGTAAATCGAATTCGTGGTCTTGCAACATGTTGTTTTCGCTGTTTTCAAAGGCTGATTCCCGACGGTCGACATCTTCGAGGATATCTCTTCGAATGTCTTCGCACAAGGTAGAGAGTCGAAGTGACCCTTGAAATGGATCTTCAATAGAGTGACCAATCTGGTACACTCCAAAGAGTAGCCATGCAATCATGGCAATCACTGGTCCCGTCAGCAACCCAAAATCCTTCATCAAAGAAAAGGGGAGAGTGACAATCCACACGGTGAGACTTCTAAGCGCATGTCGAGCATAGTGAAGTGGGACAGCAGTCTGATGAATCCGTTCGCAACTTCCAATAGCGTCGGCTAGTTTACCAACGTCATCGAGTAGCTTTAGTCGCTCTCGTGAGGTAAAGTTGGGCGAAATGGGAATCTCCATGATTTCTTGGCCGAGTCGATCGCAAATCCACAAGGGACGGTTGGTCACTTGGGCAATCTTGTGAAGAATATTGTTATTCTGGCCATGATTGTCTTTTTGTGCCTGTTCCAACAGTGACCATGGATACCTGGTGCGATCCACAAAGCAGTGGTTCTGTGGTCGATTGGGTTCCAAAAGACAGAGTTTGTTTTGTTCAGGGATCGAATCCGCAGCATTACTGCAAAGACAAGCATTTCGCACCCGGTGTCGGAGCAAGTATGGGAATGCCGCCAGCAAATGCATGATGCGTTTTCGCCGATCTGACCCAACTTCGTTTCGGTACATGGTAATGAAGCGAGATAGATTGCGGGATTTCGATGAAACTTGTTCCCAGATTTGTCTTCCTTCCTGTAATTGTATCATTCGAAAAATAGCGAGGCAAAAGTGAGTAAACAGGAGATGAACCTTTTGGTCATTGTCACAATTTCAAGATTGATAAACTTACAAGGAATCTCTGATAGGCACTGTTGGTTCGAAACACCAAAAGAAGTCCAATGGAACTGACCAAAAAGGAATGAGCCGCCGCAGGGATGCTCATTTGCAATGCCCAGTTGCCTCTTCCAGCCATTTGCAAAGCCTTGTGCAAAAGACTGACTAGTGTGGCCCATGAGCTTAGGGCAATGACTGGGTTTCGAACTTCCTTCAATATGCTCGAGTGCTTCCAAGTCTTGAGATTGTACAACCAATCCGAAGCGGAATACCGGCGATCACTTGATTGCTGGGCCTGCATATTACTAGTAGTAGCATCATCGCAATCATATCGACTGCTGGTTGATGATGATCCACCAGTAAAAATCTTCTCTCCCTCTTGAAGGTCAAACATATTGGAGTCATCTTGATATTGCAAGGTGCCATCGCCATGTCGGCCACCTTTCGTAACATAGGAATCTATTCGATGATTCAGATGAAAGGCATCCGAAGTTGCCAGAGTTGCGAGGATCAAGGATACGAGGAAAGCGAAACTTCTCATGGTGTGAAATGCCGATGTAAGTCTGGAGTATTTGTGTGCTACCTTATCGTTTGTCTTTGGTTGTCTTCTCAATAGCAGCTTAGCTTTATGGCAGTAATAGATCAATGATGTTCTGTGCAATGATGGCCGATCAGAAGTTTTTATGAAAGATGATGATTCGACTTGGGCTTTTTGCTATTATGCTTCGGCCACTTTTTCAATAATGAATCTTCAATGCAGGATTAAAAACGAAAAATTTGATGTTGTATTTATTTGTACGAATCGGCCATCGCCCAACGCAAATTCAGGCAAGAATCTTCAACTCCGAGTGTCGGTAGGAAAAAATGTAAAACCTCGCGCAATCTGTTTTCAACCACTCTGTAGTATGTTAGTCATCAAGGATAGAGCTTTCATGCGACATCAAACGATGACTACAGAGTGTATTTTCAACTCCGACGATCAGACATGCGACAAAATCTGAATCTTCTCGCCGACAACCACGATCAGACAAAATGATGAATGAATGAATGAATCTCCCATCCACGATTTGAAAGGAATCCGGAATCAAGTAAAATTTGAATGAATCTTCCGCACGAACAAGTACTGGCGGATGCAGAACATTACGTTAAACGCAACGCAACGGCAAACTTCGGTTGAAATCTGAAAAGGATGACGGCAAATCAGCCAAAAGGAGCTGGAGCGCAGATACGGCTCGGGACACGCACTGCGTATCGAAACAAACGACGAAACCGAACACAGTGCAACGCAACGCAACGCAACGCAACACGACGCAACGAAACGCGTAAAGCAACGCAACTGATATTGAATTTGAAATTCGTACTGTACTGGTGCAGCAGAAGGGTTGAGTTGGGGTTTGTCACTGCCATTGTGTAGCGCATCCAACTTCGTTCGTACCAGCGACCCCTTGTTGCGATATTTTATGAACGGTTCGATTTAATATCCCTGAGCAATCTTGTCGTAGGTCTACATCGTCGTGACTACGACCCAGCACCACCAGGAGCTAGTAATAGTAGTGATACTGCTGGTGTGGAGCCTGAATCTATTTCTGAAAACCAATGGGTTTGGAAGATAAAAAGTAAAATACTATTTCATGTGATATCTGTAATCTATCGCATATTTCATTCTGGAATTGCCATGAATTGTCATTGAAGCAGCCTTCCTTTTCTCAGAAATTCTGAAGAATGTGCCTGGAAAATAATGCTGAATTATAATCAAACGGCCAACCTATTCTTCAGCCACCTCTCCTTTAGTTCCATCCAAAAGTGTCTCCTTATCTGCGCGCTTGTACAAGTCTACCTTGTTGGCCTCATCAAACTTATCTTGCATTATGAGTTCTCTTCTATACTGGACATTGGCTTCGTAATCTTCCATGAGATCAGGATTTCTTCTTCGTTCCATGATGGCCTTTTGGAGACGTTCTTGCTCTTCAATTTCCCTCTGGCGCTTGGCTTCTCGCTTTTGTTTTGCCTCTTCGCTGAAGAAATCGAACAAACCCATGGAAACTTCAGTCGACGACGAGACGGCCTTTATTTGACTTGTCGTTCCTGCTGGAAGGACAGAGAATGCCAATGAGGAGGAGGCAAATAGAGCGGCAACAAGTGCACGGAGGAGGGTGGTGATCTTGATCATGTTCTTAGTTTGGAATATTTAGAAGTTGGTAAAGTATGCTTATACTGTATGAGAACGTATTCGAAATCTGAACCTTCTTGTGCTGACAAAATAGGTTGGTGTCAGAAAATCCGACACCACCAGATGGAATGAGTCAACCGCAGGGGATGACGTAGTCTCAAAGTGACGTGAACTCGATTGTGTCGAACTTCATTTTTCACCTTTCACTGGTCACTTACAAAACGTCGTTTTAGGCACCAAGCATGGTCCGTCCATTTAACAAGAAAACTCTGTTCCTTTTAATGAAATTACCAACATTAAAACGGAATCTGATCACTTAGTGGTAAATGTTGGAATTTGAAAAGAATGACATTAAATTAGCTTCTCTTCGAGAGGGAACCTTCCTTATAGAATTTATGTTCATTGGGCTAATCGGGAGCAGAAATTCATTCAAGCGAAGTCAAGATTTAACAGAAACACGACAATCTATTCGGACTCTGATCACTTGCTACGAGGTAACAAGCACCACGTTAAATGTGAGGGGCTCTTGTAAAATTGACAGCCGTTAAGTATATTCAAGGTGATCAGAACTTTCCTTTCACCTCATACACTTCATGCATTTCACGCGATTCCGTGATCTTGCACAAAGATCTGCATGCAAAGATCCCGCACTCACAAAACAACAAACATTTGAATAAAACATCAAGGACAATGCAATTTGTGAATCCTGTCCACACCTTGATCCACTTGTCCCCTATGAATATAGATAATAAGCTACCGTTTCCAGAACGACTCCCAGATGCATCTTATTCGAGCGATACCGCCATTAGAGTGCACAACCAGAATACACACAAACGTCCGTTGACAACCACAACCTACCAACCCACGGGCCAAGATATCATTTGTGGAAGAGGACGAGGCAGTTTTCTACATGAAGGGAACAAAGTTTACCTTTCACTTCTCCGAAGAAATGTTCATGCTTATTTGCACGCAAAAAAAAGAGTGGAAAAGAGCGTGATCATCAGCACTGTCGTCTCTTCGTTAAAGGAGCGCGGCTTTCGATTTCTCAAACAAGATGATAGGAACCAGCGATGGTATGAGCTGTCGGAATCAGACTGCTACGACCGAACCGCTCATGCCATTCGCGATTTGATTCGCAAGCAAAAAGGAAGAAACAAGAAACCACTTTCCAAGCATGCTTCGTCAAGGTCTCCGTCTCCATCCAACAGTGACATCAGTGTGGACTCCCATAAGACGGATGGACCCAGCAAGCAGTCTACCAATACTGATACACCTATTTCACTCACTTGCATTAACGAGCAGTCGAATTCAAATCAGCTTTCATCATCTTCGCCATCGAATGTTGTAGGCGCCATCGCCAACCTCCCTAACGATGCTGATTCTTTTGATGATAAAATCACCGAGATTCCATCTGAAATGATGAGCCCAACTGATAGTTTGAAGACTGCTGGTGGATTTGATGCTTTCTTTGAATTGGAGCCTGATGATTTTGGACGAGTGCTCTCACAACTGGAAGCTGAAAAACAAGAGCGTCGAGCTTCGTGGGAAAGCAAATAACTTGGCAACAACCTAGTTTGAAGAAACGGGCAGGTGCACTTCATACACGCACGGGGCGAAGATTCGAGCCACCCTTTTTGATAAAGTAATACATTGTTCTTACATTACATGAACCAGTACACGCTAGGCCCTATAACCAGAGCTCCTCCAGAGAAATTCACCGAGTTACTGTGAAAGAAGAACAAGTACACCCTTGTGGTACAATATGATACATTGAGGCTGCATAAGTACCTTTTTCGTTTGATGTGCGTTCGTGTCAAGTTCGTGCATGAAGTTTTGTTGGTGCGCTCCTGCATCGCACGCATCATGCAAGGTTGCATGCAAAGGTCCATGATCACATGAAATATTGAATGTTGGATGCGCGAGTCCAGGATACCTTGCCTTTGGCCATGACAAACAAAACTTGCGAAATTGGAAAATAGATATTCACGGTTGCAATTTAAAAGAACTATGGCATTGGCTGACTTTGTTCATATTCTAGCGGTTGCGGTCGTTGTTCTCGCGGTGCTGTTGTTTATAAGAAGAACAATAACCCAATTGCTATTAATAGTATGACTACTAGCAATTGAAGTTTGGGGCTAATACACCAAGTTAGCTGATTGAGGTAGAAAGCGAAGCTGAGCCACAATCTAAACCGACAGCATATTTGCCTCCCCTGTTGAAGCTTCGCTTCGTGAAGGTATAGTAATCTCATTTCCATTGTAAGAAAAGCTCACAATACTGTAGGATCGGTATGAGACTTACAATCCAAACTGCTCCGTCAATATATATGATGTTCTGTACGTCAAAAAACTTCGTTAAATGTGGTTCACGTGATCATCATATTTACCGGAAATACGAGATATTTGGTCGGACTCTGATCACTTACCTCCGGTAATCCTAACCGATGAAATTCATGACGTTAAACGAGACGGGATTATGATGAAGACTGAATATTCAGGTGATCAGAATATTCCTTTCACTTCACAGATTTCACTTGATATCTGTGATGTGACGAAAAGATCTCAATGCAAAGATCCAACCTCACAAAACAACAAATGAACAAATCTAAGGCAATGCAATTTGTTAATCCTATCCACACCTTTGACCACTTCACCACTATGAATCGAGATAATACGCTACCGTTCCCAGAACAAATCCCAGATGCGTCGTATTCTAATAGTAAGACCATCAACAACAAAGTGACCACCAATCGTTCTTCTTCGGCTTCTCTGCAGCAGCAGACACCCAGAAGTCCGTTGACAGCCGCAAGTTACCAACCCTCGGGCCAAGATATCATATGTGGAAGAGGACGAGGGAGTTTTCTACATGAAGGGAATAAAGCATACCTTTCACTTCTCCGAAGGAATATTCATGCTTATTTGCATGCGAAAAAACGAGTCGACAAGAGTGCAATCATCGACACTCTTGTTTTGTCACTAAAAGAGCGTGGCTTTCGATTTCTGAAGCAGGATGATAAGAATCAACGATGGTACGAGCTATCAGAACAAGAATGCTACGATAGAACCGCCCATGCAATTCGCGATCTGATTCGGAAGCAAAAAGGAAGAAACAAGAAACCACTTTCACAGTATGCCTCAAGATCTCGATCTCCGTCTCAATCCGATAGTGATATCAGCGTAATCTCCCACAAGAAGGGCGACCACACTATAATATCTACCAGTGTCGGCACTCCCCTTCCTCTGAACTCCATGTCCATGTACCAGGAACAATCGAATACGAATCAATTTTCATCATCATCCATATTGCGACCGAACTCGGCAAGCCTTCCCCGGGCAACAGTCAACATTACCGAGCTTCCAACATCCGATGCCGATTCGTTTGATGAAAATATAAGTGCGATTCCGTTTGAAGCGATGCGCCCGACTGATAGATTGAATACTGTTGGTTTTGGAGCTTTCTTTGAATTGGAGCCTGATGATTTTGAACAAGTGCTCTCGCAGCTGGACACTGAAAAGCGAGAAGACAGAGCTTCGTGGGAGAGCAAATAGATTTTAGAACTGAGTTGGAAGAAAACGTGCACTCACACACAAATACATGGTGCGAAGAGGCACCCTTATAAATTAGATTGTTTATATTAGATGAAAACAAAAACGGACGACTTTCAGCATTTGTTTAGGACTTTCGTACGAGTTCTTCACCAACCGCCTACGAAAGTGACTGTTCGTGTATATGACACTTCGTGGTATGCAAAGTTGGATTGAATGAAATATATGCTAGATTGTATGCAAAAGAAGGCCTTGTTTTGTTTCCTTTGGCTTTACAACATGTGTGGAATTGAACAACACACTGGATATATAAGAAGAAAAGGTATGTAAGTAATGTTACTTTCTTGTTTATAATCTTTTAAGGTCTGACGAGGAACGTAGTTGGAACCACGCTAAGTGAATTGATGCTGAATTGTTCTAGACTACCATTCTTGCGATCTGATGCTGTACAGATCCTAGCTGTACTAGTCAACGACCACAAGCTACTGTAGTAGTTCGCTCACATGCAACTAGAGTGCTATAATAGCTAAGCCTGCACACCCCAATTTTTCGACTCGGCTTGTGCCACCATCCAAAGTGATGGCACAACAGTATTGTACGATTACGTGAGAAGATTACATAGCTTCTTGTTGCGCCGATATAGAGTCATTCCACTTGAGCAAGAAAATCTGAGGATGGGCAAGAGACATTTGTGAGCACTAAATTTGAAACTTTCGTTAAGTCTATTCTAGTCATCCAGCATCTTACGCGATGAACACATTTAACAAAGAATACGACATCTGATCGGACTTTGATCACTTACCTAATTACGTTAGAAGGTGACAACCGGGTATTAAGAGAGCGGCTCTTCATCAAACCACCGTCTCTAAGTATATTCAAGGTGATCAGAACATGCTTTTCACTTCATACAATTCACGCCACCTAGACAAATCCGACGACAAAAGATCTGTATGCAGAGATCCAAAGTCACAAAACAACAAACAGACAAACGCATCAACGACAATGCATTGCAATGCACTTTGTGAATCCTTTCTACATCTTTAACCGCTTTACCACAATGAATAGAGATAATAAGCTACCGTTCCCAGAACAACTCCCAGATGCACCAAATTCAAGCGACACCATCAAAGTGAACAACCGTGCTTCGCCTTCTCAGCAGCAGCAGCAGACTCCGAGACTTCCACTGGCAAACGCAAATTACCGACCCACGGGCCAGGACATCATTTGTGGAAGAGGCCGAGGGAGCTTTTCGCACGAAGGAAACCAGGTTTACCTTTCACTTCTACGAAGGAATGCTCATGCTTACGTGGGGGCTAAAAAACGAGTGGAAAAGAGCGCAATCATCAGCACTATCGTTTCTTCATTAAAGGAGAGCGGCTTTCGATTTCTGAAGCAGGAGGATAAGAATAAACGATGGTACGAGCTGTCGCAACAAGAATGCTACGACCGAACCGCCCATGCAATTCGCGATCTGATTCGCAAACAAAAAGGAAGAAACAAGAAACCACCTTCACAGTATGCCTCAAGGTCTCCATCTCCATCCGACAGTGATATCAGCGTTGACTCCCACGAGAAGCACGGTTATACTATACTGCCTACCAGTTTCGACACTCTCAATCCACTCACCTCTATTTTCGAGCAGTCGATTGCGAATCAGCAGCTTTCATCACCATCCTCCGGCACACTACCATCCTATCATGTGGCAAGCCTGCCTCAGGCAACCATCAACACGGCCAACCTCAAAAGAGATGCTGATTCGTTTGATGAAGAAATTAGTGAGATTCCACCTGAAGTGATGAGTCCAACTGATAGATTAAAGACTGGGGGTTTCGATGCTTTCTTTGAATTAGAGCCCGATGACTTCAAGCAAGTGCTCTCGCAACTGGACACTGAAAAACAAGAGCGAAGAGCTTCATGGGAGAGCAAATAACTTGACAAGATACTTAGAAGGGGTTACGGCCTCAAAGAACTCATGAGGCTAAGGGACACACTGATAACATAGATTGTTAATTATGACATGACGCGGATTCAGCAGGATCAGCCACCCCCACCCATCGTCCGTGTTTTTCTAATTGTCTGCCTCTTATCACTTTTCGCGATTTCTTGCGTTTCTCCTTTTGGCTGTGTAGTCTAAAGGTATTCACTAAGGCACTACAAAAATATGAAAACAACTAGTCCATGGGAATACTCCAATACAAACACTTTCAAGCGATGATTCACAAGCTGTTTCAATTTTTCCAAACCAAAACATGGGGGACTGTCGCAGTACCTTTCGAGGCATGAGCGGATCATTGTTCGTCGCGGTGCGTCTATGAAACTTTGCATGCAAGGTTGCATGCGGTCAAAAGTGCATGATAAGAATATTAAGAATATGTGATGTTGCATGCACAATAAGTCCATGACATGATATACAGTAAGAATATATTAGGTTACATGCACAAGTCCATGATATTGCCTTTTGCTATAACTTTAGGAAAATTCATAATCTCAAGGAAGCAGGCTCAACGCTAATATTATAATGCATATGTCATTTACCTTTACTTTGTACCAGTACATGATCACTTTTGACGTGATTTGACTGAGTCCTTCACTGCACTTCTAGTACATCACTATTCTTGCGATCCGATATACAGATAGCTGTCGCCACTGGTCGCTCACATACAATTGGTAAGCCTGTACAAGTTGGCTGGTTCGCGACTCGCAATTGTGATACAAAGGTTGATGAACTTCCACCATCCAAACTGATAGCATATTTGGCTCCCCTATCTTGCAAGAATATTGAAGCTTCGTGTAGAGTCATTCCGTTGTAAGAAAAGCTGAGGATGGTTATGAGAGATGTGTGAGCAACAAATTCAAAGAGGGTTCTGACTGCAACCTGGACAGGGAACAGCATAGTATGCTGAGGGAACTTACCACCTCTCGCACCCGTCTATCACCAATGATATCAAATTGTCATTCTTATCTACACCAACAATTGTTCTTGGGGCCCGTTTATCATCTTCATTGGAAATCACGACAGAGGTGCCATTGTAAACAAGCCATCCGAAACCTGTCACAAACTCCCAAATCCGATCATCATCAAAATCGTGGTAGTTTCCAAATAGGTATTCTCCATTGACAGTCGTTCCAAAACCAACAAAATCAGTTGGAGCGTTTGTCCCTACCAGTCTTCCTTGAATCACGACTGGACCCGAATTCGACCCATCGGCGTTGAACGGACCTCCGTTCGTGGCTGCGACCTGGCATCCAAACTGCAATGCAGTCAATCCTACTGTCTGAAGTTTTTGCTTCTCATCCACCTCTCTGGCTACAGCCACTGTGACATTTTGATTGGTTGTCAACCAGAAAGCGCTGTGCCTTTTGTTGTAAGGAATTTGCGTAAGATTGGCAAAGTGATCACGTCCGTTAGGTATTGGTATGGTGACAGGACCCAAGTTGGTAGCAGATGCAGTGGTCACTGAAGACAATGCTATAACGACAAGAAGAATAAGAAGAGAACGCGGTCTCTGTAATGTTGAATGCTTCATTTCCTTCAAGCAAAGATAATCATTTGAGTTATACTGACTGAATGACAATGCGGTTTTATATTATTGTTCTTTCATCATCGATTTCAAACAGCCTGCGAAACGGGGATACTCCCTCACGAATCAAAGTTGGGGCGATATTCATTCCCCTCCCTCATAACAGCTGCATTGTAATTTGATTGAATGGCGGTGTCATCCTTAGCACAGTGTGATACACGAATCTAATTTACATTCTCTGCAAAGTGGCCCGTCTTCTTTTCCCCGGGCAGCTTTGCTTACTACTTTGCGGGTGTGCACCTGAAAACTGAGATGAATGTACGGTGGAGGTTTGGTGTTCGGTTGTCAGAAATTAAAGCTGCATAGCTCCGTGTCGCAACATCAATTCATGTTCCTTTTTCGGCCGACTCAATCGACCGTATATTCGACTCAGTCGACTTCTGTTTCTTCTGTTCTAGCCTGCTTCTCCCACCAGTTGCAGACCCTACCCTGTACACTTAGGGTTAGGGTTAGGGTTTTACATCGAAGTGTTATAGGACTAGTCATTACAGTATTAAAATAAACATACACTCATATAGTCATATATTCAAAATAGTTTCCATCCCTTTTCCTTTCTGTCGCGTTGGTATTGTAGAATCAACCAGCTGATCCTGAAAGTAGCTTCCGCCGTTGTCCATGGTTGTCGTCTATCCTAGAATTCGAACGCAGTCGTCCTTTTCATATAAGTTTGGTTGCAAAATTGGTTGATTGTTATTTTTCCAATAC